CGACGACGTCCGAGAAAGGGCTCTTGATGACATGATGGACGGCGTTCTTGAAGTGAAAAAAGACAGTTTGTTGAAATCGGTGGGTCCGACATGACATCACACTCGCAAGCTTTTTTTTTTCTGCACGGTTTGAATTCAACAAATGGGCCAAAAAAAAAAAAAAAAAAAAAAAAAAGAAAAGAAAAGAAAGGACGGGAAGCGCCTATTGAATGTGCTCCACAGGAAGTACCCCAGCCCGAGTTTGTTCTGGCCAAACCGAACAACCAGTGGAGCGAAGACGAGAAAAAGCAATTTAAAGAATATGAAAAGAAAGTCAAAGAGCTGAACACGGAGAAAGATAAATACAGAAAGGTAGTCCAAAATTTTCCCTCGCAACCCGCTTGGAGATTTTGGGAAATACTGACTTGCCAACTCTTGCTGTTTCTGATCACCTTGATTTGTAGTCACTGGAAAACGAAATCAAAAGCCTTCAGAAAACCACCAAAGAGGCCACGGACCGCTTTGATGAAGGTTTGAAAAAGCTGTTTGAGATGAAAATTAAGTCAGACATGGCCATATGTCAGGTGAACAGCAGGTCAACACACACACACACACGCACACTCAACAAAACAATATGTTCAGATTTTTAAAATATATTTTAAAACACTCATAAGAGGGGGAAAAAAAAGATGCTCTGCTCCAGGGCACAACGTGACACGAGAGGTTTTTGGAGATAACGTAACAGATCAGTAGACGACTTCATTTATGGCCACATTTATTTATTTGACTGTCTAATTGACTTTTACGTCGATCCTATGCCCACTACCCGAATTCTCACAAAGGAATTTCCCAAATTCAGACATTTGCATGTGTTCTTTCCCCTGCTCCACATTTCTTACATTTCATTCCAGAATGTTTCAGTTTAGATTCGGATTTTTAGCATTCACAGGCAATTTCCCCCAAAAAGCGTCATTTAACCCTTTCAGGGACAGCGGTCACTACAGTGGACAGCTTATCATGTTATCAGGTTACAGGGTGCATGAAAAGGTTAAAAAAAATTTTAACGTATGTAATCGTCTAGTCATGTGTTAAATGGTGTCTTTATGACCTTCATTGCATTGTATTTCATGACTCTTTGGTACAAAAATGTGCATTTTACAGGAGGAACTGAAGATTAAAACGCTTAATTACTCGGTGCTCATGGAAGAGCTGATGAAGAACGAAGAAATGGAGCAGGCGCAAAAACTTGAAGAAATGTCTGCACAGATGGTAAAATGACACCTCCCATTTCTTCACATTTGCATTGGGCTTGAAGTTTCATTTTCTTCTCGTCTTTCCCCACGACTCCCATTTTCAACCTGTCCTGTCCACTTCCCCTCCTTCATCTTGCCCTCCCGTCTTACAGAAGAGAATGGCCGAAGACCTGCAGAACTTTGAGAAAGACGTCGAACTGTTCCAGGAGAGCTATGAGAACATTCTGGCAGACGACAAAGTAAGTCTGCTGCCGGCTTGCGGACATCCTCTCGCCAGTGAACGTAAATTCTCATGTCTCTCAAGGCTCAGGACAAAGACTTCAGGAAGGAGTTTTCCAATCTGCACAAAGCTCATGTTGATCAGCTGTATAAACTGTTCAAGCGAAGGCCCAGGTTGGTCATCATGACCGTTTTGTTTCAAAATAGTTGTGCTGACTTGGTAGTAGAGTAAAAAAAAAATTTCTTTCCTCGCAGAGGTCAAAGGAAGACTGCCATGGAGGAGTTGGACGCTCACAGGAACATGCCAGAGGGACTGAACCAGCCGGTGTGGGAGAAGTTTTGTCAAATCCGCAGAACAAAAATAGACACCGAGCATAAGGTATGACGAGGGCACTTTGACTTTCTATTCGAGTTAAAATTGCTGAAACAATACCTCGGGAGATCTGGATCATCTTCAAGACGGTTTAATATTCATCATGTAAGAACCAACAGCCAGATCGCAAAAGCAGCTGACTTAGTAGTTCACACTTTAGGTCTTGGTTTAGTCACACTCATTATCTTCCCTAAATATGAAGCTGGAACACAGGGAAGGATAATACAATGAAACCAACAGGGGCCCCAAAATTGAACCTTGCGGAACACCATACGACAGTAGTGCAGAGAGGGACTCGGAACAACTCTGGCGAACACAAAAAATCCTCCCGACCAAGCAGGAGCTAGGATCCGTCATGGTTCTGTTGTCTACCGCGTACCGTGATTGGTATTCGCACCACATTTTGAGAATCACTGCTCTGCTTGACGAGCATCGATTACTGACTTTGTGTTCTTCTGACTATCCCTCCAACCAAAAACATACTTCACTGTCTAATTCGTCATGAGTCAGTCGTAAACACGTCCCTGACGTGAGGTTTATAGTTATATAGTTACTTTTCCCATTGTTTATCTTCCTATTTTTGTAATCCTAAAAAAACCAAAACGCATGGTACTTTGTCTGCAGATCAAAGCCACGGCAGCCACTCTGGCTGAGATGCAAGCGACTCTTCTCAAGAGGCGAGAAGCGGACGAGGCCGCCAAGCAGGACATGGAATGTCTCGCAACAGAACTTGAAAAGTGTGTGTGGGACGCTTCATTGGAATCCATATTGTGGAAAAACAAGACTTTTAGAATGGCTTGTGTAAAATTTGTTGGGTCTCAAGCACCCCGTTCTTGGCACCCATCAAGTCATGAAGTTAGACAAGCAAGAAAATGTCTAGTGAGACACCTGTTTGACCAAAATAAAGGTCTCATTGTCTAATTTGGCTTAATTGGCCACATCTGCTGCGTGAAAAGTCTTTGGATCAATTCCATTTGATTCCACAGGTGTACCTAATGATCTGACTATCCTTCCCTTTTTTTGTGTGTCGACCCCTTCAAGCCTGCGCGAGGAGAAGAACAACTTCCTGACGGACATCACGGTCCAGTTCCTTCTCAAACAGGGTCAGGTGGAGGTGACCAACACGGATCTCATCCCGGACTACAGCGAGTCGATTCTCCTCCACAGGGGCAAGGTGGAAGAACTCAACCACACCATCCTGGTCAGTGGAGCGCGCGCACTCACTCGCCTCGCACACGTTCGACTCGTGCCTCACCATTGCCGCCGTTTTTGTCCGAAACAGACTCTCGGCGAGCAGAAGATAGCCACCATGGTGCAGACCAAAGACTTCCGTAAGGGCATCATCCAGGTCGAATGGGACAACACCATGAGGAGGATGCAGATCGAGGATCTCAAGAACAAAGAACGGGACATCCAGAAGCTGCGGCTCACAGAGGACCACAAAGAGGTACGCGGCTCGTCTCTTCTAACCTCGGCAAACCTCAATACTTTTTTTTACTTTTTCAAATCTTTCAGATTTATTCATATTGGTCATCACATGGTTATCGGCAGCCATCAAAGTATTTATCAGCAGATAACCGAGTAAAGAGCTTTTATCAGCACGGCGTCTTCATGCAAATGCCGCTGCTTCTTTGTCGCCATTTCAACACGTGCAAAAAAGCAATCTTGAGTCAACTCCCACCCCTTAAAACACCCCGTAAGACATGTCCAGGCCACAGGGGAGTGAGTTGCTCGGAGAATAAACAGGCCCCCATAAAGATCCGATGAGTCACGCGGCTTGCTCTTATTTTTAACACGGCCGTGACTGCGCATGAGAATCGGCGTTCCGGGCACCCGATGCCCGTTTTCTTTGGCACAGCGTTCAGGTGGTTCTCCCGCGGCGAGCGGCGCGGCTTCCTGCCATTGTTCCAAGGCCTCTGGAACGTTGACAATTTAAACGTTGGAATACAAACAAAGCCATCAAGTGCGGTCGTAATGTTTATTGCGCTGTTGTTTTGACACTGACATGGCGACGGGATGTTTGACAGTGTGCTCCCTGTACACTTTTTTTTTTAGTATCTCAAGTCAGACAGCGACAGCCGTGTATGCAAGCAGGCCATTTCTATGAAGGAGACTCAGGCCCTGCAGACGAAGGTAACCAGAGGCCCGCTCACAAAAAAAAAAAAACCCACCGGGGGACCTGATCTAAGGAGTTCCCGCAACAAAAAGTGGCTTTGCCTAAAACATTGACATGAACTTAATACATCTTTTTGGGACAGTGCTACCATGAGCCACGTTCCTGCGATGCGACATTGCCTTTAAAACAGCAATGAGGCCTTTTTCAATGCTGCCCCCCCCCCTCCACCTCTTCCCCTTCCTTTTAAAGAATTTCCAAAAGGACGTGAAGTATCGCAAACAAAAAATCAGACACCTCCAAGCTCAGACGGCCATCAAGGAACGGAAGAACGCCGCTTTGGACAAGCAGGTCCAGGACATGCACGTGACCGTGTCGCAGATGCGACACATCTACGAGGCCTCGGGTAAACAAATTCATGTCACGCATTTCGGACTTCTCCTCAACTTCCGAAATTATTATTATTATTATTATTTTTTTGTCTTTTAAAGCCACGGAAGAAAACGAGGCGCTGAACACGGAGCAGCGCTACCAGGAGGTCCTGCTGGTGCAGCGGCTGAAGGACACGGCCAGGTTCCAGATGGAGAAGCTGGCCTTCCTCAGCGCCGAGGCGCAGCATTTGAGGATGAGGAACGTCCCTTCGCTGGTGCAGATCAAATACAACAACTGAGCCCCGGGCGGGCAACCAGGTTTTTAGTCACATTCATCTTAAATAGACGCCAGCAACAAATCGAGCGGTACGAGACAATAACATAGCAGCCACAAATAAACAACTGCGTATGACTGAACATTTGCCCTTCGAATATTATTCGGAATTGGGAGTGTACGGTGCACCTCTCAGGTTGTACGGTTTGGAATTTGATCATGAAGGACCAGCCCCATGACAAACTTAAACAGCAATAAGCTCTTTCTAGTAAATATTGGACTGGATAGACAGTTAGTTGTAAGACATAAATATCAACCCCCCCACCCAAAAAAAGGTAAGTACAACCTTTGTAAAGCCCTGCCGTACAGTTACTCTTTCACCCCAGAAATCATTTTTTGGATTTTCATTATTTTCCCAATTTTTTTTTTCCTACTGTATGGCTTACATCAAGTTGGCGCATCGAAATGGTAGAAAAGTGCATTTATTCAAAAAGTTAAACTTGTGCATGCTATGGATGAAATTGAAGACATCGGAAAAGAATGTTTAAAAGGCCAATTCCTACCTGATTTGAAATGAAATTAATTTTGATTGTCACGGTCTAATTTAAAAGTAAATTTAGCGTTTTCAGTATAGTCATCCAAGGCTTCCCGGATATTCTAATTCATTGGGTTGCACCTGAATATGTTTGAAAGCACATTCAGGATGCAAAGTCCTCTTCCGTGCGATTAAAGTGCAGCATTTTCTCATCCAGACCAAAGAGGTCAATGACTTCAGACAGGCTGGCCTCGCGTCCCTCCACACGGGCGTCCGACTGAAGCTCACGCAACGCCTTCTGAGCACAACTCCGCCACTTGTCGATCAAGATTTGAAGCTGCGCCAGGTTGTTCTGCAGAAGAAGGACAAAAGTTGAAGAAAAAAAAAAAAGATCACGCCCTCTTCCCACCGCATCGAGTGAACCACCTTGCTCCTGTACATCTTAACCATTCTCAATCGGCGTAACGTCTCCGTCTTGACCTTCACCTCCTTGCTGAGCCGCTCCCGTCGTTGCGCAAGATCTTCAAGGTGAGAGTGCGCTGGTCCAGGAATCCTCCTGGAAAACTTTTCACTCCCAGGTGTGGCTTCCTGGTAGTTGGCGCCAACAGACAGACTGATAAGTGGGGGATTTTTATCATCATCATCACCCGCAATCCGGGAATGTGCCGGAACTTGTTGGCCGTCCTCCTCGTCCACACAGAGGCGCTTGGCCACGGAGAAGGGCGAAGTGAAGGAGCGCCGCGTTCTCTTCAGACGCACCTTCAGGGAGGAGCTCAGCTTCTGCTGAGGCTGTGGAGAAGCAGATGGCAGAGTGTGCGGTCAAATAAAACGCGGCGGAGCCAGCGCTTCCATATTGACAATCATTGCTCATCTAAAAGACATCCAAGAAATGAGCTTTTTCCGAAACACAGCCTTTAGAGACATTTCGTTTTAATTAATCCAGTATGCTGTAGTTTGTTTAGATGTTCCAAAATGTGAAAAAAAACTATTAGTTGAATGCAGCGTAGTTATGACACTGATTTAGGCTACCAGCATTTTGTATTACTGTAATTCAGTGGAAGGATGTTATCTGATGTGGACATCACAAAAACAATGTTGTAATTTTTTAAAACATTTTTCCACAGAAGGCTTTTCGAAGGTACATAGACGACAAAAAGGTAGGTAAAAATGAATCAATAAAATGTTAACAATCTAAAACGACATAGAAATTAAATCAATGATAAAATGACGTCGTTTGTTATTATTTTTAATAGCGCACAATAATACGTGAAATGCATTTAATTTACCGTCTCACTGGACCCACACGGACTCGACGGTGAACAATATACCGACTTAGATAAGACATTCTTCGGTGTGGCCTCCATACACGAACCGCACTTCGTCGCTGCTCAAAACGTTTCAAAAGCAACGTCTGTATTTAATCTGAATAGCAACGGGGTAAAAACAAGCTCTGATCCAAAAAAGTAAGATAAGCAGTACTGTGAGGAGTTATTCCTTTTTTGTCCTCCTACATATTGGCGGATCAGCGAAGTTTTCTGCATTTCCTTGTTTTGGAGTTCAGAAGCCCTCCAAAGCTCGTGATTGGTGGGACGCTGATGACGTATTCCGCGGAGGGTTCTGGGAAATGAAGTTGATCCAGATTTCTCACTGGAGACCAGTTAAAAACTCAGTTCGGAAACAATTAAAGTTGCATCCGGGTGACGTTTCCCTCTGTTCAAACAGCGTCCGTGATATATTTCGATCAACGGTGGTACGTTTCACACTGCAGTCGAAGTAAAAATGAAATTAGTTTGGTTTTAGATAACAGGCCCAATGTTGTCAGACTATTTCTTGGTTACCTTATAGTTTCTATGGGGGAGTCATGAGGTGATTCAACCGTTCCCACTCCCCAGCTGATTCACCTCCATTCTCTCAGAGTTACTTCACCAGTCTCCTACATTTTCTGAAACATCATCCTGCCTGGATACACGTGTAATTTCACATCGTCCATGATTAAGCGTTCTAGTTTATTCTCACCACTGAGTCAACATTTGAACTTTTACTTTCAGGCACTGGTTGGGAGTTTTTCAGCCAAAGCGAGGCAACGGTGGCTTATCAAGAATCTCGAACGCATGTGAGATGTGAGTGAGGGTGCCAGCTTTTCATCCAACACAGGTGAGAGTGTCATGAGCACCCATAAATTTGTATCAAGTCTGCACAGGCATCCAAAGCATCTTTTGAATGTTGGGGATAAAAACCATTTGTCACTTTTATGATATTTTCAATGTTCTCTCATGTGATTGAGCATGATGCTGAGATTCAGTCCGAATCCAGCAAGGGCACGGCCTCGACCGCACACAGAGAAGCTCTTGTTTTCATCTGGCTGGGCAATTTCTCACTTTGATTTTCTGCAAAGTGTGAAACAAGCTGCCCCAGAAAAACAACAACAACAACATATACTCCAACATTATTTGGTGTTGTTTCCAAAATGTGGCATGGAAATGACATTGCTTGCGTTTTTCAACAGACTCTGAGAGAGTGCGGACGTGTGAAAATAAGCCGCAGTTACGATGAGGGATGGGATCGGTTCTAATTTTAAATCACGGTGATGAGTGAGTGATAATGTCTGCTTTGGTGGGGGCCGCAGTGGCGCCATGTGTGGGGCGATTTCCGGCTTTGGCCAGTTGCTGGAGAGATTCCCGTTCCTCATTAAGATAATGAAGACTCTTGCGTCAGTCTTGTTGTTGTCGTGCATAAACTAGAGCAGGGAGTGTACGGCCAACTTTGCTTGCTTTACTGTCCATATAGATCACACTTCTCTAGTTTGTTAAAAAAAAAAAAAATGGGATTAAAAAGAAATCTCAAACTCTCTCAAGTTCGGGGGTGCTTGGATTGACTTTCAGGGGTGCTTGAGCTAAAAAAAAAAAATTAAATCACTGATGAAAATCTTGATTTACGCTCCAAACAAGCTTGGTGGTGTATAAAGGTGAACTTTTTAAAATGCTCGTCATTGTCCAAATATTCCTGGGCCTCAACTGTGCGAGTGAACGCGACCTTTGGGTGCATTGAAAGTATTCCCGCGGTGCATAATCAGTGTTTACAGATTCGATTGCTAGTGTGAGATCTGCAGTAATGAAGTAATCATTGCCTCGCAATGGACTTTTGAACCTAAATTTGTTTATACAAATCTAATCTGCTTGTTGTGTTTTATCACTTCTGCCGAGCACAAACATGTTGGATCCAAACTGTCTGCTGGGGAAAAAAAAACAACATTTAACATTCCTCACTTTTTTTTTTCCATCGTCATGGAATCCTTCATTTTTTTTTTCAAACTATTCCCTTTCCTATTAGTTTTGGCTTTACTGTACAAGCTTGCACATAGATGTGAGTGGACCCCCCCTCCCTCCCAATCCGCCCTCCACTTCCCTCCTTCCCTTGCTGCTCACTGTCCTCGGGGCCATTTGTTTTCTGTCAGTGGAGCAGAACCGAGTCACGCTCGCCCGTGAGTCATGCGGGTGGGTGGAGGTCAGTGCCGAATGGGCGTGGTGGATCAGGGATCCCACCGGCTCTAATGGCTCCTCACTGGAGAGATATAAAAAATGCCCATTCGTTCCAAGTTACACAAATGTCAATGGTCGGAAGCCTTACAAAAAGGATTTGTTTTAAATTCACAAAGTGGCGATAAAGAGTAAACCCTTTCTTTACTTGAAGGGGGATCTCCTTGTAAACGTATTCTTTGTATGTAGAAGTAACTTTTTGAAAATCCGTACAGTAGACCCCGTTTTCACCGATGCTGCAGCTCCCACCATTTAAAGGGGCCTCTGAATAGTCTCAAATAAAGTTTAGATGTTCTAGTAAGCTTTTCCCAACATTTTTCGAGCAGCATAAGCCACGATCAGTCGAGATCTTCTTTTTTTAATGGTTTCAGTCAAGAGAATAGTTCAAAAAAAAAAAAATTCAAGGTATTAAATGGAACATCGGGAAGGCAGTTAGGATCAAGCAATCTTTTTATTTTATGGTCTCAGTCAAGAGAATAGTTAAAAAAAATATTCAAGGTCTTAAATGGAACATCGGGAAGGCAGTTAGGATCAAGCGGAGAAAATATTGCGCAACAGTGATGACCACAAACTGGAGGCCCTTCCAAAATTGATGAAAAGAAAACTGGTCAAGGAAGCTGTCAAGAGGTTGACAGCAGCACCGAACAGCTGCAGGACTTTCTGGCAAGTACCGCTTGTTTAATCCAACAATCTTCTCTTTTATTCTGAAGTCTTGGCTGGGAGTGGGTGGCATGATAAACTGGGGCCTCGGTGTCAATGTCAGCATGTTGGCACAAAGATTTTGGCATAAAACGTCAGAGGGAAACAAATCCCACTGGAACAGCTGAACTTGGTGTGGTAACAAAAGTTTAAAAATGATTTTTCTTGACCTCGTTTTTTTTTTTCAATGTCACAAAAACCTGGAATTTGAATGCGGTGTTTTGACTTTTTATATTCACCTGATGGCTCCTTTTATTATCTGCAATGTAGGCTAAAAGTGTCTTCTTTTTTGGTTTGCATCGGACCATGAAGCTAAGCATGGGGTGTCACTTTAAATTATATCGTAAAATTGTCACAAGCAAGTCTTTGTGCAAAAAAAAAAAAAAAGTTCACATGCTTCAGTGTCTTCTTCAAAATACTGTGTCTCTACTGTACGTGAAAAAAAGCGCAGCACAGTAAATCAGTGTAATAGCAGTGGCTGCAAACCACAAACTGCATGCCAATTATTGTCTATGCAACGTGTGCAGCAGATGCGATCCAGCTGCAACGGGATGAGTTTTCTTTCGCCACACAATCGCCCTCCACACTAATAAAAGAAAAGAAAAGGAAAAAAAGGTTCCCACCCACTCCTCCAAGGAAAAAAAAAAACATTTGGGAAGCAGTTGTGGCCACAAGAGTCGCAGGAGGAGTTTTCACTCACTGTTTTCAAGTTTGCAGACGGACGCGTTCAAGTGTCCATTCCGGCTGTGGGACTTTGGAGTAACGGACTGCTCTACACCTGCGACGCTGAGGGGCGCGGCCGGGACCGCTGCCCGCAAATCTCCGTTGCGACTTTACTTGGGCAACAACACAAAAAAGAAGTCACAACAAGGAGCGGGGAGTACTTTTCTTTTTTAGGAACATCCCCGGGTTTATTCGCGCACGCTGCCCCCCTCCCCGAAGGAGCTCCACACGCGGACGGGGGGACTTGATTGACTCCGTTGGCTGGAGGTATGAACACAAACACTGGAAATAGTTTTTAAAAGCGCGTTTTTGCTGCTGTTTTTCGATGACCGAACGTGCGTTAATAGCAATCACTTCGCTCTCGAAGTTTTCAAGCTCTTTCACTGCCTGCGCTTCGCCCTGGAATTGCATGAAAATCATTTTGGATGCTTTCTTTTTTTTGTTGTTGTCTTTTTCGCTCATGTTAAAATTAATCTGCTACCACGATCACCGGGGATAGCTTTACATGCTCTTTACAGAGCTATTTGCATTTCTTCTAAATATATTCCAGGGCTTGACCTCTCACCGCTTAGACTATACTTACGATGACAGCAACCCCTCTTTATGTTATTTATATTTCCAGGTTATGAGGTGAAGTTAAACAGGCTACTAGGTGACTTAAAGGAATTTAGGATGCGTATTCTTTAAATGCGAGAAGAGTCTGGTCAGCATTGGAAGTGGAAAAAAAAACCCAGTAACAAGCACGTGTTTATGGCAGATTGAGGAAATGGGAAAAGTGTTGGATATATTAAATATCCTCAGGGTGTGGTTAGTGGCTTGCATCTGGCCTTTTGAGCCTTTGTTGGGCACAATAATGTGGCTTTAGAGCCTTTCTCGCTCCATTTTGTGTGTTCTATCAGCTATACAGATGGCTTTACAGTGAAACATGTCTGGGAAGCTAATATGTGTTGTATTGAAGTACAATCATGGACATAATTAGTATTTGTATGGAACAAGGGCTTGTACCTTCAAAGATGTTGCTTTTATACCCTTGACATTTGGCGTTTACAGCTTGGCATGTGACTTCTTTGGCCCCCCGAAAAGTATAAACAGTTACCCTGGAGGCCCAGTCGTAATGTATTCTCGCAGACTTTTACTTTCTACGCCATTGGTTCTCTAAATTTTTAGCAGGACTACTGAAAAAAATATATTTCTGCTCTCCAAATTATCACCATCGTAACCAAGATTAAATTTGCAGACCCACAGCAGAAAGAAGCTTTATTCCAAAGAAGTAGATTGCATATTTTTGTAAGCCACTGTCTGATTAACAGTTTCAACATTAAGAAACAGAACAGAAAAAAGAAACATAAATCAAATGAAAATGTTTTCACATAAAAGTTGTAAGTGTCATTAAAACATAAATTACAAACAAAATGTACTTAGAGTTGATCCTTGTGGTCCACCACAGTCCGTCTTTTAGAATAGACTTGAGGTTTCGCTTTTGCAGCAGAGGCGAATGCCTTTTTTCAGCACTAAAAAGCTCTAAACATTTTCCTTGAGGGATAGTAGTTCCTTTCTCACGCCAAAATGGATAGAACTCGACTTCCCCACATGTTTGAAACAAGCAAAACTTGCTATATAGCAATATGATTTCAGTGGCATGAAATTTCCAATGAAACACCCTAGAAACTCATGTGAATCTTGTGATATTCTTGTGCTCCCCCCACCCCCTTCTCATTGGATTATCGTTTTTATAGCCCAGTTGCCATTTAATCGCGTTAAGACGCATAACAACGGTTGTTGCGCAGGCACAGTAACCTGAGCGCGGTCATCGTTGTGCTGTCATCCTGTCAGCAGATAAAATGGGATGGACGAGCTAACGCGACTGGCAGACTTCTCGGGAGACTTGGCAGATGAACGGGGTGAGGTTTCTGAAGTGTTCACGGTGTAATAAGATACAGTGGAACCTCTGAGGACAACGGCAAATTTGTTTACATTCGGAAAACACTTTTTTTCCCCTGAGGAGATAATGGAAATAGAAATAATCCGCTCCAAAATGTGGCCAGGCAAACTATGTAGAGGAAATACAGTATGTAATTTAGTGTCCCTCCGCGATAAATTATATGGAGTACTAAACTATGGAGATAAAATGTTCAAATGGTTTTCGCCATCTCACTTTTCCTGATCTTAGCGGGCAAGGCTAAAACGGGGCCCAGTGACGTACTTGGGGTCCCGGCATGAGTCGCCTGTGCCACACTATGTAAGAACTCGAGAACCTTTGTCCGCATCAATGATTATCCGACACAATTGCGAGTTACTTATTATTACTAGGCCTGTTTCTACTCCTACAGTCTGTAGTAAGCTAGCTATCCACACCTCCCCCAATGCCACAATTTCAGAACGGTATGGTGTCATTATTTAAGTTCCCAAGTGAGGACTTAATGCCGAAAACGAGTCCACCACCTTTCCGTCAGCCGAGATGAACCCCGGAAGTCTTTAAGCTTGCGAGCTAACTGGTGGCTAACACTTCTGGAAATCCCAGCGATGACTTATGTGGATATTCCATTCACCAAAGGCTTTAAGTAGATATGTTTTACGGGTCAAACGAGTACCTACAACAAAGATACTAGACTTACTGTATTTGATTTGATGGTTGAGCAGGGCATGGTTTCAACAAGAACAGTTTGATCTCACATGACTTTAAATTCTTAGTTTCTCTGACACAGATGCGAGTTAATTCCTTAACATTGAGCTTTAGAGCTTCCACTGTCTCCTCACTTGATTTGACATGAATGTCACGTGTAAAATCCGATTATGAAATGCTCAACAGCATCCACTTGATCCTTTCAACTGATGTTATGTTGCATTCAAAGAGCCCAACTAACACTCCATAGCCGCTCCAGCCAGGTTAGAGTTAACTTTCCACACGGCTGGCACCTTTTCTTGGGCGCTTTTGTCTCGGGCAGACTGTCACTTTTGCATGCTTTCTACTTCTCTCAAGTCTCACCTTTCAAATTTCCCCACCTTCCACCGCCCCCCTCATCTCACATTTAAACCCTCCTGGCCATCTTTGCTCATAGCAGTAGCTTTGATAATCAACATACGATGAGGTCAAGTCCCGTCTGGTGATAAACTACAAGTGGGCGTAGAACGTCAGATCATACTTTTCTAAATATAACATCTAAATATAATCGCCTCCAGTCGGTTAAGCTCAGTTAGAGGCAAAGTGTTTAAAAGGGAAAGGGGAAAAAAACAACAACAAACAAAAAAAACACTTACAAAAGGTGTAAGGAAGCCAAACCCTAAGCAGAGTTAACAAATGGACACTGGGGTTGGCGTCTGGAAGGCTTGTTGGCAGCCGTGCCAAAGTGGTTAACTGCTAAAGTATGTTCGCCGTTAGTTTCCAGGCCTGATGGCCAAACGTCGAAGTCCATAAAAGTCTGCAAGAGGAGGAAGAGAAGGAAGGTGGGGGTCAAGAAACAGGGAGATAGGATGACGTTTCAAACAACTCAAGCTTTTCCTTGGTATGATCATTATCATTAGTAATGATCACATCCAGGAAGCAAATACGCTCATATACACTTACTGGACACTCAACACACAAAAGAAAATAATGCTGTATTTGTATTAAAGGGTATAGATGGGTAGCTAGACTGATGAAGTGGTAGACATACATATTGCTTGGTAGATAGCTAGTGATGTACGAAGTACTTAGACAAATAGAATAGGTAGAGTCATAGATAGACAGATAGCTTTTTAGATTAGGTTGTTAGCCGGCTCGCTAGCTACGTGTGTAGATGGTAGCTACTGTAGGTGGCGGTGGTAGGTAGCTAGCTAGCTAGCAAGGAAAATAGATAGAAGCCGGGGAATGGTAGCTCGGCAGACGCAGATGAATAGAAAAGGAAAAATGCACATGACTTAAACTTAAGTGCAGGCTCACATTCCTCCCCTGATATTTTGGGGGAATGTATTCATGATTTATTGGACAGACGCAGTGAGGTTGTCAAAACAGAAAATTCTCCGAAAATGTTCCCCACTGTACTACCCACCAAAAATCTGAAGCTGGTAACCACACTGTCGAATTAGGTCCAAGACAAGAGATGTATCAAAAATGCTGCTTTACAAACCTACCTTTTTGCGGGGGGGGGTTGTTTTTTTAGACAGTGTAATAGTGGTTTTAGCTGGACAATATATTTATTATTGTGGTTGCACTGCATCATACTGAGTGGTTTCTAATAATTTGGTTCCAATTTTTAGCGATACGAGAGACTCAGTATTATTGTGATTGAAGTTTGCAGTGGCCTAAAATAAAAAATAGTTTTTTACAGTCAATAATGAAGATATTTTAGCATGTCACCAGTACACTCACTGTAATGGATTTGCAAGTCATCATCAGGCACATTTTTCGTCAACAGCCGGTTGAGGAAATGGTAATTTTGTAATACTGTAAATATACAAAAAAAAAAGAGCTAAATGCTGTTTGTAGGTCGGATTAATGAGGGGTTTTTTTTTGACAGCGACCAGGATAGTTTATTTGCTGATTAATGAGGTTTTTTTTTTTTGACAGCGACCAGGATAGTTTATTTGCTTTCTAATAAAAAGCATGTATTGTAACTCCAAAATGTGTGACTTGAAAAGAAAAAAAGCTTCCTTTTTTTTTGTCTCCTGAAACCAAATGTTCCGTTTTACGAGATAAACTTAGAAACACTCCCAAAAAAAAAAGAAGATTCATGTTTTCCATTGAACAGCAACCAAAATGTTTATGTCTAATCTTTGTGCACTTCATTTTTACAGTTCCATCTTAGGGGCCTTCGGAGGAGTGTAAAAATCACTTTCACTTAACCTGGAAACTCAAACACTGGGTTAAAGCAAAACAAAATGTCACATTTAATAGCTTGCGCCCAATTAAAAGGACTAAAACTGCATTCTAGCATGTCACCAGTACACTCACTAATGGATTTTGGGAATAATCATCAGGCACCTGCTCAGTCGACAGTTGCTCAAGCAGGGGTTAGCGTCCGATGTTAAAGTAAACAGACGCTGCTTTGTACAAAGACCGCCTGGATTATTCACAAACAAATCATTTTTCCTTTTGTGCTATCAGTTGTCACGGAGTCCCTGACATCCACCGGCAGACTGACGTCCCTCCCGCCAAGTGAGTGTCTCCGTCCCACGGTTGCGCTCGCTTTAATTGTTGACGTTGAAGCCAAGGGCGAACGCAGTAATTACAAGCGTGCAGCTCGGAGGGAAGTGGCCGATGAGTAATGGCAACTCGCGTGTTTTGCCGTGTGTCTTCTGGTTGCTAGAGGGAACCGGCGCATCGAGTCACAGGAACATGGCCAGCTCGAGCGGTGGAGTTGGAGGAGGAGCCTTGGAGAAGAACATCTTAACTCAGAAGAGCAGCACGACTTACTTCACTTCTTGTGAGTTTTCATTGCACCAATGAGAGTTAAATGGGGGAAAGAAAAGTTTAGCTACTCGCTTTGGTGTCCACTCGGAGTCCAAGGAATAGAACATCACAGGACTCCATAAAAAACATTTTGGGTTGACCATGGAGAAACCTGCCCAAAAATGTTTTCCAGAGATCTCCAAAACCCATCATCACATTTTTCAAATTCGTGGTCAGTTTTACTCATGGTGAAGTCAAAAATGTTTTCCAGACATCTCCAAAACCCATCATCAAATTTTCAAATTCGTGGTCAGTTTTACTCATGGTGAAGTGGCAATTCGAACCAGAGTTGGCATTTTCACATTGCTCCAACCATAAAGTGACCACTGTGGGAGTGACCACAGCAAATTTAACACATCAGGTCCCCATTTAAATTTAAGCGCGAGCCACGTGACTCATTAAAACACAAAATATTGACACGTGAGGCTCCATTTTGGACATTCTCACTTAGGGGTCTACTCGCTTTTGTTGCCAGTGGTTTGGAGATGAATAGTTAGTTCGTAGCGAAGTGCCATTTCTTCCCTGTAATCCCATGAAAAATAGAATCAAAAATTTAAAATTTATCCCTGCAGCCTCAGTCGGCGTGAGCAGCAGTAGCTACAGCTCCTCCTCGGGGGTTTACCTGGGAGGAGACGCCATCGGTGCAGGCGACGGCGCGGGCAGCTACCTGGACGGCGAGGGCTACGGCAGTGGCGGAGGCGGA